CGCTTCGCTCTCCGGCTGGGGCTCTGCTTTGGCGTTTCCCTCCGCTGTCCTGTTGCTCCGTCTCCTCTTCTCCCGTCTTCTCTTAGGGTCAGGCTCTGAGATAGCTCCAGAGTCGTCCTCTGGCTTCTGTGGAATCCTTGGGGACTTGGTCCAGGGACTTGTGGACACCGCGGGACAGCGGAAGGTGTAGCACCCCAAGGTCTGCCGAAGGGAAGGCCCTCCCCCACCTCCAGCCCCGGGGGGACTGGAAAACACAAATGGAGAGTAAGCGACCATAGTGTCCTGCGTCAGAAACGTTCTCCCTCCCTGCCCACCCATTCCCGGGTAAGAATCGGGACGCCTGAAATTCACATGGACATTTCTTAGGGGACATTTTTCAGGTGGCCGAGGAAACACACTGTTTTCTGTGAGGCTGTTCAGGGAGGCCCCCAGAAACTGCTGTTCTAAGCTTACCCCGCGCAACCATTCCTGGAGTGTCCGTCCACCTGAGCTCTGCCGGATGAGCCCGGAAGGAAAGCCCGTCGGCCGCGAGCCAGTCCCGCTGCCCGGATCTCGTTGCAGATAGCCGATCTTGGCGTCGCCACCTTCAAGACCTGGAGCAAACTGACCAAAGAGGAGCACAACGAGCAGAAGAAACTGCACCGCAGTGCCTCCAGGGCGACGGGCGGCACCCTCTGCTACATGGCCCCCGAGCACCTGAACGACATCAACGCCAAGCCCTCGGACAAGTCCGACGTGTACAGCTTCGCCATAGTGCTGTGGGCGATTTTCGCCAGCAAGGCGCCCTATGAAAGTAAGACGCGGCCGCCGGGCGGAAACTGGGGATGAGAGAAAGCGTGCCGAGACATCGGGGCGCATTTGCCGTCGTGTGCTCCCGTCCGGCCTGCCCCCTCCGCCCAGGCGGTGCGCGCCCCAGGGTGGGGCCCACCACTGACCAGCAGTCAGGGCTCCCAGGACAGAAAGGGACCTAGATAAGGCCGCGGAGCTGGGGGGCTGGGCGGGGCCTGTCACATTGCAGGACGCTCCTGCTTATGGTGCTTACCCATGCCTCCCTGCTCTTTCTCCTTTCATCCCCTCACTCCTTCCCTCCTTCGTAATTACCGTGGGGGGCCTCGCTGGTGCCTCGGGGGCTCACGTCTCAGCGCTGCCAAGCTTTGCCAGACACTGGCCTGAGTTCGGTCCCCGGCCAGGGGCGGATCCGCATGGCGCAGCAGGCCTGTCCTGTCTCCCCGCTGCTCCCCTCAGCGGTGGATTTCCATGGATCTGCCTGTTCTGCTCCCCACTCTGCCTCTGGTGACTCCTCTCACCCTCTCCACCTCTGGCCTTCACGCAAGTTCTTGGCCGCATAAACAAGTAACAACAAATCTTGAAAATAAATGCCACGGGCACTGTCACGAGAAGGGAGGTCTCGGTGGGGGACAGCAGGGTGGCCCTCCAGTCTCTCACTTGCTCTCACTGACAGACTTCTGATCCGTTCTCCCTGGAGGCACTGGTAGCCCACGGCTGGGTGATCCTCTCAGGCCGGCGCTGTTCCAGCTGGCCGGCCCAGCCCTGGCCTCGACGGCCTCTCCCCCACGAGACCCGCCGAATGGAGCAGGGGACAGCTGCCTTTGCAGCCGCTCTCTGCGCCCCTCTTCTGTGTGGGAACCTGCACTCTCTCCATCCACCCAGAGTCACCGCGGGCTCGCCCCCCCTCCCCCCTCGTCCCCCACCACCCTTCGGCACCAGCGCCTGCGTCCAGCCAGGTGCACGAGAGACCCCGGTGCCCCCAGCCCGCCCTCCGGCCTGTGCCTGCCTGGCCCGCCGCTCCGTCTCTGCTGCCCTTCCGCCGTCCCCACAGCCGCGTCGCTCAGCCCGTGCGAAGCGTCCTCTGCGTCCCTCACTGGCGCTGGGTGGCTTTTCCTGTTCTCTCGCTCATCCCTTTGCCCTCTGCCTAGTTAACAGGCCCTTGGGCTGAGCCGCTTAAATTCCTGGAATGCCACCATGATTCTGGAAGCCCAGCCTGCCCACGAGGAGTCCTCCTCTGAGGCTCCTTTCCCCTTTCTTTACCTGGGAGGCGCCTGCTCATTTCTCTGGACTCCACGAAGCCGCCACTGACCTTCTAGAGGTGGTCGATGCTTCCACATCACCTGCACTTTCTTCCTGAGGAGCAGTTCTCACTGCTTATTTCAGGTCACCTGGCCAGTCCCAGGCCCACACATCTTTGCGTCAAACAGGAGCCTGTCATTAACGTTACCGGCACATCCCACTGGCTCAGCCAGGGGACAGCTGTGTGGTGAATTCTGTCTTTCATCCGCAGAATCGAAAATGTAGCTGGATTCTCCCAGGGATGGAAGATGTTGGCTCCTGGCCGCCTGCTCCCCAAGGGGTGGGGGTAGGGAGGGCAGCTGTTGTTCAGCAGAAAGCTTCCAGTGCTAGCTTTGAACAACTGTACTGTACAACTGGGGTGTTGGTTACAAGGGGTATGTCAGTTACAACTGGGATGTCACTTACAAGGTGTCACTTACAATTGGGATGTCAGTTACAAGGTGTCAGTTACAATTGAGGTGTCAGTTACAAGGTGTCAATTACAAGGGGTGTCACAACTGGGATGTCAGTTACAACTGGGATGTCTAGGTGTCAGTTACAACTAGGGTGTCTGTCAGTTACAGCTGGGACCTCGGAATGGGACCTCGGAAGGGGTGTCAGTTATAATGGGTGTCAGTTAGGCATGGAATGTCAGGTACAACTGGACTGTCACCTACAAGGTGTCAGTTACAACTGGGATGTCAGTTAGAAGGTGTCAGTTACAATTGGGGTGTCAGATACAAGGTGTCAGATACAAGGGGTGTTAGAACTGTGATGTCACTAGGTGTCAGTTACAACTGGGGTGTCTGTCAGTTACAACTGACTTCAGAAGGGGTGTCAGTTACAACGGGTGTCAGTTATGTCAGTTACAACTGGACTCACCTACAAGGTGTCAGTTACAACTGGGGTGTCTGCCAGTTTCAACTGGGATGTCAGAAGGGGTGTCAGTTCCAAGGAGTATGTCATTTACAACTGGGGTGACAAATGCCACATGTTCACAGACACATGAACAAGGAGTGATGGTACATTTGCAGGTTCTACTCAATGTCAGTGACACTGTTACAGGGCACCTCAGTGTGAACTGGGCCCCCTGTCTGTGGGTCCTCACCCGCGCGCCTAAAATTCAGTTGTCCTGCAGGCACACACAAAAGGGTCAATACTGGGTTTATTTACAAAAGGGGAAAGGAAAAGGAACAACCCAGGGAAAGAGAGAGAGATACAAGGTCACTAGAATATCTTACCAGCTGGGCTGACTTGGAGCTCTGGTGACAAACTAACTGATACAGCCCCCGGTGGAGCAGTGGGGAGAGCCGTTTCCTGAGCGAGAGAGGCCCCTTGGATAATGGCGCCCTATTTATCCCCCACAGTCCCAGAATGCCTCTTAGCTCCCCCCTTGGGTCCTCGCAGTTCTCTCCCTGGTGCTGCTGGGAGTTGTAGTTTCCAATCACTGGCATAGGGGGTGGAGTCCACAAGACTGCAGAGTTCCTTTAGGACATCCTTCCCCTTAACAACACTGCAAAATGGCAGTCTTTTGATGAATCACTATAGAATATGCTATCTACGGGGAGTACTTGTCAATTGTCGGAGACCAGCTCCAACTTTTGAGGTGTCAGGAGGCAACACAGGCAGGACCCTAAGATGGGAAGGCGTCGGCGTGCAAAGATTCCAAGAGGGGGAGAGGAGTGGGAGTGAGGAAGACACGGGAGTCGGAGTTGGGTGCAAATCTTCCTGCTCTGCCTTTAGCAGAGGTTTATTTTATATATTTCCAGCAGGCAGGGGGATGGCATTAGCATACGAAAGGGGTTAAGATCACAATCACCTTTTTTCTAAGAAAATGGTCTGGGGTCGCAGGAAGAGGAAATTTCTTGCTAATCAAGAAACTTGCTAAAAGGTTTCAAGTAAGTTTTCTACTTTGAAGAAACTTGCCAAAAGGTTTTAAGTAAGTTTCCTTGAGGTCTAGACATAATTTGCTCTGAATAGGAGACATGGGTGAATTTGCTTATCTAAAGACTAGATAGTAGAATCCTGAAAGACTAGCCAGAAAGACTTTTGTGGATTGCTTTGAAGTTTAGCAGGTAAAACTTGACTAGCTCTAAAACAGGCAACCTGGATGAATTTCCATATCTAAAGACAGACAGTAGGAAGTTTAGGTAATTCTGTAGAAGGATGCTAGGTGAGATAGCAGAATAAGATTCGGGTTTTCCTCAGTCCAGCAGTGAGAGACTTTGCAGAAACAGCCCTTTTGTTTTTATTGATCAGCCAATTGTTAAGTCACTTTTGACTTCAGAGGAATTTCTCACCCTGGTGCAGTGCTTGCTTGTCAGGGCAGGCAGGCCTTATGCAGCTGAGGCAATCCAATTGTAGGCTGAAAGTTGCTCAGAATATTTTGATATTACGATTATACAAAAAAGGGAGGTCATAACACAAGTTAGCATGGAAAGTCTGATCTTTCAGAGCTTTTCCCGAGCTACCCGGAATCTGTCAGACGATAGCCGTCGCATAGCTTGTGTCAGTCAATTATGCAAAAAACCTAAGGATATTTATTGTTGCCCTGGCAGTCCTTAAAAAATAAATTAAATGAAATAATAAAATAAACAGCATGCTACAAATAGAGCAAACTGGGCAGAACATGTTGGCTCTGCCTGTCTCGGGGGCTTTTAGACATGGACTGAAGGGGTTGCTAGGTACCCAGGTTGACACACAAGGCGTTCCTCTCAAAGTGCTCAAATGCTCCAGTTACTGGAATCACCCGCTCTCCTGCATAGCTGGCCATTCATGATACTTGTTTTCTTTTAAAGGATTATTTATTTATGCGCACAGAGCTGGGGTACAACCAGAGGTGCAGGAGTGAGATGACTCACCAGAGAGTGGGGAGCAGAACAGGCAGATCCAGTGAAGTACCCTGCTGAGGGGAGTAGCAGACGGGCCAGGAGAGGGCTGTGGGTCACCTCCCTGGCGGGGGATCGAACTCATGCTGCAGTGGCTGCAGACAGTCCCATAGTGCCATGGTTTAACCCCTTGCGCTACCAGGGAGGGCCCTGATACTTATTTTTGACAATGCAGTTATGTCTCCATCTGTTAAAAAAAAAAACGCTCTCAACGTTCTTGTGAAATGTGGGTTTATTTTCACAGCACACCCCAGGCAGAAAAAGAGAGCATTGTCCAGCAAGGCCTTCCCCTCCTGCCTGACAGGAGCTGGGCCTGAGTGGCAGCCCCACCCCCACCCCCCACCAACTCGAGCTCCTCCTTTTCTCCATAGACGCCATCTGTGAGCAGCAGCTCATAGTCTGCATCAAGTCTGGGAACAGGCCCGACGTGGCCGTCATCCTGGAGTTCTGCCCGCAGGAGGTCATCAGCCTCATGAAGCAGTGCTGGGACGGGGACCCAGCCCTCCGGCCCACCTTTGTAGGTAAGAGGGTCTCTGCTGTGTCGCTGCATCCCACGTGGTGGCTGCCCGGAACGAACATGTCAGCAGCTTGCCTTGAGTCTCTAGAACCCTGAGCTCTGCTCTACTGCAATTTCGAACTACTTCTCTCTTTTTTTTTTTAAATACTAATTTATATACCCAAGCATTGGGGCAGGCCAGAGATGCAGGGGGTGAGTGGATTCACCAGAGTGGGGAGCTGAACAGGCAGATCTGTTGAAATACACTGCTGAGGGGAGCAGTGGGAAGACAGGAGGGGTCTGCTGTGCCCTGTGGGTCAGCTCCCTGGCTGGGGCTCGAACTGGTGAGGCGGTGGCTGCAGACCACTTCATAGTGCTGCACTTTAACCTGTTGTGCCACCAGGGAGGGCTCTCGAACTAATTTTCTGAATTGCAAACATTTTGTTCAAAGGCCCCTTTCCTTCTCCCAGAGCCTGCAGGCACACAAGCCCTTGTCTGTCTTTGCTCCTAGTGAACTTTTTTTTTTTTTAAAAAGATTTATTTATTTGTGCACACAGAACTGGGGTACAGGCCAGAGGCTCAGGGGCAGCGAGAGGCTTCACCAGAGACAGGGTGGGGAGCAGAACAGGCAGATCGACGAAGCACACTGCTGAGGGGAGCAGCGGGCGGGTCAGGAGAGGTCTGCAGCGCCATGTGGTCACCTCCGGGGCAGGCGGGGATCGAACTCATGCGGAAGTGGCTTTAGATTCTCAGTGCTGTGCTCTAACCCGCTGCGCCACCAGGGAGGTCCTGCTCCTAGTAACCCTTTTAAACCATGTTACGACTCACGTAATGCGAGATCGACCCTCTTCCCAGTGGCCCCAGGACAGTGCAGCACATTAAGCCCTCTCCCCTCTCCCACTGTGGTGCCCATGACCTCTAACACATTTCCATCCACCGGAAATGGACCTCTGAGCCTGCCCTGAACCAGGAACCCGGCCCAGCCCCGCAGCCACGCCAGCTTTCCACGACGGCCCTGGGTGTCTCACAGTGCACAGGCGCCCGTCCTCCTGTGTGACTGCGCACTGCACCCAGCAGAAGGCCCAGGCCCAGCCACGCTGCCCCCTCCCACCTCCACTCCCCCCCGGAAGCACAGGCTTCACGCAGTATTTTCTTTATCTGATTGTCGGCCAGTGAACACGGACCGGGTCGCTTCCAAGCGGCTCAGCTTCCTTCGTTTCTTTTCCCTGGTCTCTTGGAGTGTGCTCTGTCCTCTCAAGGGAGCCTGTAGCGGAGGAAGGAGGAAGAGACGAGGGTGTCTGTCGCGCCCCGGTCCCGTTGCCTGCTCTCAGCGTCCCTGAGGCTCTTAATGAGACCCTACAAACAGGAAGAAAGAAAAGCAGGCGGAAAAGTGTAAGAGCAGGTCAGCGTGAAGGCGCCTGTGAGGCATTTTGCCCTTGTTTCCATCGCGGGGAAGCCGAATGGAGGCCCCGGTGCCACATTCTGTCCCTGGTGAATCCTCTCACCGCCCCTGCACCTCTGGCTTGTACCCCAGTTCTGTATGCATAAATAAATGAATCTTAAAAAAATAAATCTTTGAAAAAAAAAAAGTAACACAGACACATTCCAGGTGCTCTTTGTTTCCCTCAGTGATAATACCTGGCCCAACTACAGTGCACCCTCACAGCCGGGATCCTGACCGCTACAGATACTCCTTCCCCCAAGAAGACCTCCTTCAATAGCCACACCCACTCCCTCCCTAACCCACCTCCTCTATCTCTGGCTACCACTAATCTAGTGTTGTCAGGTTAAGAATGTTACGTGAGTGTATTCATGAAATACCTTTTGCTACTCAGCATAAATCTGGGATTCATCCAGATCAACTATATCAATTGTTCATTCTTTTTCATTGCTGAGTAGTATTCTAGGGTGTGGTTGAACTGCAGTTGGCTTATTCAGTCCTTGAGGACATCTGGTTGGTTCCCAGGGTTTTTTTTTTTTTTGGCTAATGAAGCCACCAGACATACTCATATACAGGTTTTGTGTGAATAACAGTCTTTACTTCTCTAGAATAAATACCCAATAGTAGAATAGCTAGATCAGGAGCCGTCTGCTGCGCCATGTGGGTCAGATCCCTGGCCAGGGATCGAACTCATGCTGCAGTGGCTGTGGAGAGCTTCCTAGTGCTGCATTTTCATCTGTTGTGCCACCAGGGAGGGCCCACAACAATTTAGTTTTATCCTTTTGGAAAAAACCATGATCTGTCTTGAAAATTGGAAGTAGCATTTTTCTTTACAGCTGGCAATCCTAATTCTTCACACAAAACTCTTACTCTGAGCAGCCTGTCCCATAATGAGCCCAATCCGAAGGAACCTCAACAAGCAGTTCACCTGCCTCCTCACCCGAGAATAAGCACTGCCCCTCCGCCCCCCCAAACCACCACTGCGGCCGAACCCGCACACCGGCACAGAGCTTCCAACACCCCCCTGTCCCGTCCACCCCGTTGTTACTCTGATTGGTGTCTTCTTGAAAGCCAGTGACCTGGTGTTTAAATTTTCATGTTACTGTTTTGCCTGCAGAATAAGGTTAATAGATCATCAGACGTAATAGATTCATGTTACTTTATTCAAAAAAGTATTTGAGAAATCTGAAGGACTGTTTTTTTCACCTAGGCATTGACGAAACATTCAGACCTTTTTACGTAGCGCAGTTAGAAGGACTCGTAGAAGAAGACGTGGAGACTCTCAAGGTAGGTGACCGTAGCAGATGCTCCAGACACTAACGTATGGAAGCACTCATGGAAATTGAAGTTGTGTAATTTGCGGCTGAGACTTGAGATAAACAGTTTGGTAATCACATGAAACAAAGGTCGCAGTTTTATACAGACATCATCAAGTTGGCCAGTTGGACCCATTCTACATTTTTTTTTTTTAAAGACTTACTTTATGTATGCACACAAGAACTGGGGTACAGGCAGAGCTGCGGGGGGTGAGAGGATTCACCAGAGACAGAGTGGGGAGCAGAGCAGGCAGATCACTGAAGTCCACTGCTAGGAGCAGCGAGCTGGTCAGGAGAGGTCTGTTGCTGATGTGGGTCAGCTCCTTGGCTGGGGACCAAACTCGTGCTGCAGCAGCTGTGGAGAGCTTCATAGTGCTGTGCTTTCACCCAGTGGGTCACCAGGGAGGTCACCCATTCCACTTTTCATAAAGAAAATTCCAGACCTCCCTAGTGGCACAGTGGGTTGAGTCTCAGCGCCATCAAGCTGTCCATAGCCACTGTGACCGATGACGTAACTTATCCTGAGATCATGTGCAAGGCCGCACTGCTGGTCAGCTTAGGGGGGCGGGGAGCTGGGCTGCTGCAGCAGAGCAGGAGAAAGGAAGGAACAAACTCATTCCTCAGAGGTGATGGGGTATATGCATAGAAAATGCCAGACAATCATAATGGAACTTACCTGGTTATAAAGCTATTCCACAGAAAATCTAGGTGAGTGGGAAATAACTTTTTTTTTTTTTTTAGATTTATTTATTCATGCACGCAGAGCTGGGGTACAGGCCAGAGGTGCAGGGGCGGTTAGAGGCTTCACCAGAGACAGAGCGGGGAGCTGTCAGACGAAGTACACTGCTGAGGGGAGCAGCGGGCTGGTCAGGAGAGGTCTGCCGTGCCATGTGGGTCACCTCCCTGGCTGGGGATGGAGGCTCTAGTAACTGGACAGCTTCGTAGTTCTGTGCTTTAACCCGCTGTGCCACCAGGGGGAGCCCAGGGTGTGGGAGCAGCGGGCAGGTCAGGAGAAGTCTGCACGCCCTGTGGGTCATCTCGGAGCAGGGATCAAACTCACGCTGAAGGGGCTTTAGCTTCTTAGTGCTGTGCTTTAACACGCCGCACCACCAGGGAGGGCCCATGTTTTGGTTTTAGCAAGCCTGTACACTTCCTGAAAACTCTAAGAGCTTGTCTGGATCTTCGTGGTCCCTAAACTGAAATCCGCTGCAGGCGCAGATGCAGATGTCCTGCGAGGAGTTACACCCAATCTATGAGAAGCGAATTTGTCATGGAGTCTTAAAAATAAAAGCTAAACAATAGGAAAGCAAAAGGCTATGTAAGAAAGTAGATAAAATCGCGCTAAATGACACGACTGAAATGTGAACAGTGCTCTTTCGGTCCTAACAGCGGCCACTGACCCTGAGAAGTGCACGGTTTGGATGCTTATAAATAAAGCATCCAGACTGTGAGAGTCTGCACAGTCTGAGTCTTTGAAAAGGAGTTTGTATTCACGTATTTTTCACAGAAAGTAAAATAAGCATTGAAAGAGACATTTTCATAAAAATTAAAATGCCACAGAAATGTTTTTCCTGGAAAGTAAAAAGCAGTGAGTCTGTGAAGGAGGGAAGAGTCGCACCCCTCATTCTCCCGCGGTCGGGCATGTTCTCAGGCGTGTGTTCCTCCGGGGATGTCTCTGACCACCTGTGTCGCTCTCTTCAGAGTAAAGTCCATGTGCAACTAGGAACTAGGATGAACAAATGCGAGGAAGTGGCAGGAAACTGTTTTGCCTTTGAGTAGCGTGCCGCATCGTTTCCCCTTTTAGATACAATTCTCTGCCTTTTCCGTATTTCCATCATCCTTGTAAAAGTAATAACACTTTCGTAGGCAAAAAGTTATTACTTTTTTAGTGGGGGGAAATATATATATATATATATAAAACACAACATTTTATATAACACCCATTTTTAAGGGTCCCATTAAGGACATTCACACACCCCCATCTCCATGATGTTGTATCATCCCATACGGGAACTGTGTCATTGACTGGCCATTCCTCCCCCAACCCCACTCCCACTGTTTGATGACTTTGCCTGTCCTCGGTACCCATAGGCATGAGTCGATACTCTGACCTTTTGTGTCTCACATGCTTCACTTAGCTTAATGCTTTCAAGGTTTATCATTTGGTAACTTGTACCAAAATGTCTTTCCCCTTTAGGGCTATATAATATTCCAGTTTTATGGCCTCATGAGAAATGGAAGCCATACAGTGCAACACACTTGCCAAAGGGACTTAGTATCGACACATTTTGTTTGTTCATTATTGATGGATCTGGGGACTGTCTCCACCTATCTGTAGTGAACAGTGTTGTCAGCAATATTATCTTTTTGAGTTTCTTACTGTTACTTCTTTGGTGTGTGGGACTGGGGTGGAATTACTGAAGTGTGTGGTAATTTAATGTCTGATGATGTGAGAAACTGTCAAACTATTTTCCACATAGCTGCACCAATTCACAACCCTACCAGCAGCACGCAGAGTAGTGTCTCAGTGTTCTCACCAGTACCCTTCATTTTCTGGATTTGTTTTTTTTTTTTTTTTAAATAATACCATTCTAATGAGTGTGATGTGATCCTGTGGTGGTTTGGATTTGCGTTTCCCTAATGACTGACATTATTTATTTTCCTGTGCATATTAGCCATTTGTGTATCATTAAAGAAATGCCAGTCATTCCATTACTTTTGAATTGGGATGTTTGTTGTTATTGAGTTATAGGGAGTCTTTATATAATCTAGACATTTATCCCATATTAGATTAGATATAGAAGCATTGCAAAAAAAAAAATGTATCCTGTGGGTTATCTTTTCATTCTGTTGATGGTGTCCTTTGATGCTCAGATTTTAATTTTGATACTGTCCATTTTATCTCTACTTTGTTGCCTATGCCATGAAGGTTTTCCCCGTCTCCTTATAATAGTTATATGGTTTTAGCTCTTATACTTAGATGTTTGATTCATTTTGAATTAACTTTCTGTTATAAGGGAAGGATCCAACCTCATTCTTTTACAGTCTTCTCGCCCTTGTCAAAATTAATGGGCCATATATATAAGGAGTTATTTCTGGGTTCTTCATTGGTCTGTATGTCTCACCTTAGAACAATACCATACTGTTTCAGTTACTGTCACTTTGCAGTCAGTTTTGAAATCGGAAGTATGAACCCTTCACCTTTGCTCTTAATTTTACAGATTGTTCAAGCTGTTTGGGGAACACATTTATTTATTTATTTTTAGCGATTTATTGCTTGCAAGAGCTATCTGTAAATTCTACTTTCTGAAACAATGCATTTACCCTATAATTTTCTGAAACTAACTATTGTGTATTTATTTTAATTACAGAAGGAGTATCCATGCGAAAACGCCATTCTGAGGAGAATGCAGTCTCTCCAGCTGGATTGTACAGCCATACCTCCCAGCAGATCAAATTCAGGTAATTTATACTCCTATCAGAAATCTGTTTACTCATTTATTTATTTGCTCATCCATTCACTGCTCTCTAAAACACTCTTCATGACCATATGAGAAATAGAAGCAGCTCTAAAAGTTAACACTTGTGTTAATGGAATTTGTAATCTATTCAGGACTCAAGATAGATATATTCAAAATATTAAGTAACCTGATATTCACCAAAATCATAAAGTCTCCTGAACTTAAGAGGCTGATACATCTGATAGGGAGAAACAGTGAATAGCTCAGCAAAAGGAAAGAGACATGTATGAAAACACAGTCTTCGAGGGCACGAGGCTAGCTGGACCTAGAGCTCAGGCAGGAGGGCGGGTGGATCCTGCACCCAAGCAAGGACACTCTTCTGTTACAGCATGAGCAGAAGCAGGACAGGGGATACTGACAGCGTCTGTGAGCTGTGTGATTTGGGGTACGTTACTGAACCACTTGGACACCTAATAATTGCTCCCTCTCTGACAGGGCCTTTAACAAATGAAAGAACTGGGCCTCCCTGGTGGTGTAGGGGTTAGTGTCAGCGCTGTCACCTCCAAGGCCTTAGCTTAGTCCCCAGCTAGGGAGTTGACCCACACGGTACAGAAGACCGCTCCTGTCTTTCCCACCTCTCCTGTCCCGCCCACTGCTCCCCTCAGCAGTGGATTTCAGTAGTTCTCCTCACGCTGTCTCTGGTGAATCTTGCTGGCCTCACCCGCTTGCCCCATCCCACACCTCTAGCCTACACTGCAGTTCTTCTATGCAAAAATTTTTTAAAAAACCCATGAGGTGTGGCCCTCCCCGGTGGTGCAGCGGGTTAAAGCACAGCACTGAGAATCTAAAGCCGCTTCGCATG